AGCTAATATTGAGTTTCAAGAAACGGCAACAAATACAATATAGTGTTGCATGACATTGTACACAATACAATAAACCTCAATTGACATTACAAACTCACCCAAAGTTATTCAAAAAACACATGAAATACGAAAGTGCGAAATATCGCAACATCCGCCACATTTTAAAATGTAGGTACGCAACGACAATGTTAAATTTTCCCTCCTTCTTCGAGCTGCCATACGTCGTTCTTCAGCCTGATAGTCCTGAAGTGTTTAGTCAAGTTTACGAGAGTTAAGTCGAGCTCTCGCGACGTCTCGCCAGGATATGGGTAAAGCAATAGGGGTTCGAGAATTATTTGCAAGGTTTCCCAAAAAAGGCTCAGGATTGTTACAGTAATGGTGTGCTAATGCCTAAAACTGAAAAAAAAAATAAAGATGTGATTTACGAAGTTTAATACAGTGATGAATTTTGTTTTTCAAAAATCCGTACATGAAAATTGAAATAAAAAAACATTTACTAATAAAACCGTATACAATTATGAATGTTGGTTTTCAATAATTTTGCATTGAAAAAATGGAATTCCAAATCAGTTACTAATAAAATTAATTTTTTTTTTTTAAAAAAATAGCAATTTAGTTTGTACATACCTCAAATGCTTCATCTCGATCGTCGTCGTCGTCAAGATAGACGTTCTTTGCGTGTATGTCGAAAACACCATTTACGCGTTTTAGAAAGAATTTAAATGTCTCATACTTGTCTTTCAACACCATGAACGTGACATAGCATTCTTTAAAAGTCAAAATTGGATCGATTTCGAAACAAGTATTGTAGATTTTCTCAAATGCCATGTCTACATCAACCTCGCAATTCATCTCTTTAGACTGGATGAAATGAAGAATGATGGTACAAATTATTTCTTCAGCTGCAGAAAGACATTTGTTTGAAAACTCTTCTCATATAAATTGGAAATGTTCATCCTTTGTCTTTTTTTTTTTTGAAGCGAAAGAATTTTTATTAAAACTAAAAACCACATAATTACAACTATGAAATAGTTAGAATAGCCAAACAGCCAAATAATTGAATCCAGGAGGCCTACACTAAGGTAGCCTAGAATTAACTACACTAACTCACCCACATCACAACAAACTAAACAGCTCCCAACAGGATAATAACACGCTCCCAATAGGAGAATAACACGCTCCCACACAGGAGAATTAACTTTCTACGTCTTTGTCAACAAACTAAACAACCTAGAACACTAATTCATCCTTTGTCTTTGGCAATGCAAAATTCCACATGATTGTAAATAAAAATATAAATGTCTACGTCTTGGTGTAGTGACTTTTGAGGGAAAAACAAGTTGGTATATACAGGCCAAAATTGAAGGTGATAATTGAATTACGTGTGTATCAATGATACCCATTGAAATTTAAAAGAATAAAATTATTTAAAAAAATTTGTTTAGAAAGTTAGTCTAAAAAAACTTTAATATGTCTTTTTTTTTTCCGAAACGATAGAGAATATATGTAACAAATGCACAAAAATGCAAAGATACAACCCAAAGTTGAATAACCAACCCTACGCTGAGAAAACTGGGAGGACAGGTCTGACAACCGCCCAGAATTCCGACGCTAGCAAACGCTAGAAACCAAAACAAGACACTCAAGACAACAACACAACAAAACACAATAAAACTACAACTAAAAACTCCCACAAGAGAATAGAGATAGGAGCTGGTCCCCACGGGATAATAAATTGCTCCCACTCACAAGAGGCCAACGGCCCAGACCAAAGAAACGAGACATAAAACATGTTCGTTCCATTTTTTTCGTATTTTTTGTGTTTGTTTTATATTTATTTTTACCCATTTTAGGTATTTTTCTTTGGTTCTTGGTCCATTTTGTGTCTTGTCGTGCATTTTCCTTATTTTGTTTGTTTTTGGTTTTCTTGTTCGTTTTTACTGGTTTCTGTGCCTTTCTTGTTGGTGGTAATGCGCAGGTTAGGTGGCTCGGTAAGTGGTCGTGCGGGGATTGCTATATAGGAGATTGAGGTCGAGTTGAGTAGAAAAAGACGGAACTAAAATCCAAGGCCAGACGCATACGTATAAGCCCGAGAAGTCAACCACATTCCTTCCCCGCGGCCGCGGGGGAACTAAAATGTCTGCGCCTAGTTTTCCTTTGTCGCGACCTCGGAGCTGGTCGCGGCCGCGGAGCCGTTGTTCACCGCAGCCGCGGAGGTCGCGAAACCCAAATTTTTAATAGCAGATTTTGTAATCGTTGGGCATTATGTTCCAAGCGAGGGATTTGAACTTTGTGGGGGTACTTTCACTTGGAAACACATTTTTTCTCTTAGTTGTTTTCTTAGCCCCTGTTTGTTTTGTAGGATTAGGCAGGATATCCTGCCTAATCCTGGCCTAATCCTGCGTTTGGTTCGTTGGACTAAGGCCCGCAGGATTGGTTAGGCCCGGTATAAAAAAGTGAATTATCCCATGAAATCAGGATAATTGAATCCCATCATTTACATGGGATTAATCCAATTCCAGGAAGCTAAAGTCGAATTTACCCTCGTTTTAATAATTTTTAGACAATTTTGACCTTCTGTATAACACAAATTACAAGCAGAAACCTAACATCAGTTTACGCATTTTTTTTTTCTATTTCACATTTTCCTTATGTTGATCTATGAATTCTGATTGTTCATACATATTTGAGTTATACGGAAAAAATAAGAAAATCATAGGCTGATTTATTTTGCAAGACATTTTGATTGTAGTTATGTATGTTGTAAAATTATGTTCTTTATGTTACTGTTTGGCATCTTATGTATTTACCATTTCTGATTAGATTTGGTATTTATTTATTTATTTATTTATTTATTTATTTATTTATTTTTGTTTTTTATCTTGGTTAAGAAGCACGCAGCAGAAATTCGATGTATTGGATTTTGAATTTAGTGTGTGAGGTAGTAAATTTCATCAGATCTCGTTTTGATTATTAGGCAGCTGATCTGTGGAATGGCGGCCATCCTGTGCTCCTTAGTTACATGTAACAAACAAGAGATTACTTTTATGCAAACAGTACAATCCTATGGGATTGGACTATTTTAGTCCAATCCCATCCTAGAAAGCAAACATTAGGGATTCATCTTGAAAAAGGATTAGGAATTTTTAAAGAATGGTCCCTAATTTTAACGCGTGAGGCCTATTGGTGTTATTTTATTATGAAAATTGTGAACACAAATTGAATTTGCACATAATCCACTTATATTGGTTAGTAAATCCAAACTATTTTTGCACAGATGAGCAGCTGCTAAGAAAATCCGAACCAATTTTGAGGAGATACAAATCAATTACTTATGTTTAATTTTAACGAGTGGGATAAATTGGTGCTACTTAAATTAATAAATCAAAACATTATTTTTCAAGTCCAATATACTACTTTTATATTTTTCGAACAACTTTTTTATATCTATCTATATATTAAAAGAATAACTTTTTAAGGATTCCCGCCAATTTTTCCGGCCAATATATGTATATATAATGACCCGCCAATATATGTATATATAATCACCCGTCAATTTAACAGTAACCTAAAAATTAGCAATTGTCTTTTTTTTTTTTATAGATAGAGTAGTCAACAGCTGATTTATTGAGTAGATAGGTAACAAATCGACTGAATTATTGAGTAGAATTTGTTATTCTCTTTCCTGTTTTTTTGGTATCAAAATAAATAGTTGTAATTATTTTTGGTATCAAAACTAATAATTTTCAAATTGTGTGTAATCAAATATTTTTAGATGGTATGTACCAAAAAAAAAAAAAATATTTTTAGATGGAACACCATAAATTCGGTACGATTTTATTAAATTAGACTTATAATATTTTAGATACTTAAAACAAATTATTTAGACATTTTTTTACATATTCGTCTATATATACATATATATACATACACATAATTGATGTTAAATTTAAATATATGTAGACAAAGTAATGTTCACCTACCCACGGTGTACACATATTAATATGTCCACCGCTTATGTGGCATGTGCTCATTGGTGATGTATTTTTTTGAACATATTAACATCACCAATATGTGCATGCCACATAAGCGATGACATATTAACATGTGCCCACCGTGGGTAGGTGAACATTATCCTATGTAGACATGTTTTATTTACAAAATAGTCTACTTTTTTTTTTTGCGATGACATATTAACATGTGCCCACCGTGGGTAGGTGAACATTATCCTATGTAGACATGTTTTATTTACAAAATAGTCTACTTTTTTTTTTTTTTTACACAATGTTAAATTGAAATGTTTTTAGATATGTTTTTCTTCTAAAATTATTTAGAAAAGTTGTAGGTGATTTCACATCTTTCAAAAATAATATAAAAAAATTTGAATACTATTGCATATACTAATATATTATATTATAGGTGTTCTTAATATTAAACATATAAATTTTATATTCTCTTATTCAAAATAATGTAAATTTTATATTCTATTATACAAAATAATTTTACATTGTTTGACCCCGAATATTTAATTTATAATTATTATGTATTGTTTATTCTCAGCTTTAATTTATAATTATTATATTTTTTTTTCCTCTTTTTTAAATAGGATCAATAATAATTTCCACTTCCGCCATTGAGTGACTCAAACTCGAAATTTATTTATAATATTGTTCCCGTGCATCGCGCTGGGTGTACTCTAGTTAATGTAGATGTGTGTGGTGCATTTAACACGGGCACAATATTATATGATACGATTCCCCCTGATTCTAGCGCCAGCTTCAACCCATTTTTCAAATTCGTAGTAACTCGATCTCCTCTTTCACTCACAATTTAACATCGACTAGGTTAGTTTTCTAATAGCTACGCAAATTATGGGGTAGTGTATATTTGTTGGCCTTCATCGTATGCTGATCCTTTGAATCCCAAAACCCGACGGCGATCAACCGGAGAAAAATTGTGAAACAGCTCTGTTTGGTGGGGGAAAAACTCGTTCGAGATCAATGGGGCACAGTTCAAAGAAGAAGAAGAAGCGGGGAGGTGGAGGGCGAAGGGCCCAATCTAAGGACCATTCATTTGCCGCCGATAGTTCTGAGATTATAGCCGAGGAAGTCACTGCCTTGTAAGTGTATTCACATACATTTCCCATTTTTCACGTCGTTCTTTGTATATCACTGCTGTATGTGGTCATATAATTATGTGTTTGGCATCAGTTTGATTAGTACCTAACATCTAATTCAGCTCCCGGCAAAACTTTATCCCTTTGTCTTGGCCGCTATAGTATCCTGATGAATGAGGGTTGACATCATGCTATGTGTCTGATAAAGCTAGCATTCCTATGTTATGAAGGTCCAGCCACACACTTGAAAATCAGTCGATTTACTTCTGTAACTGCAAAGCTGGGTCTAAAAGTGGAACTCAAATTCCTTCGACTGGGTTATGTATTAGACTATTAGTTGGACCCAATCACGTATAAAATCAGATATAAGATCATTTAACCCTATGATACGAGAGAGAACTACTGTGAAGCCTTGGTGTGTTAAAGTGGCAGAGTGGTGTCGTCCAAAATTTTTTATAAGAGCTTGAGAGGTCCAATCTTGTGAACCTAGATGTTGAAGTCGGTGAAGGCCATTCTAAATCCTCCATCACTATCATTGTTGGCATACAAACGTAGCTCTGTTTTTTGATGCATATTATTTTACTGGGCTCGATGTTCAACTTTATGTTTATTGTGTGTATAGAAAGTTGTCACTCATTCACTTTTGCAAAGAGCCGATTTGTATAAAAGTTCTTCAATGGGAAGTTATTCATAGCAACGTCTTTGCCAATTAATTGTTTATTGTTAGGGATTGATGTTTCATCTCATCTTGTTCGCATTGAAAATCAACCGCAACTACTGTATGCCGCGGAAAGTTAATGATTGTCCTGGATTCTAATTCAATCACGTGCAATGTTAGCTGTGGACATGTATCTTTGGATAGATATTTGTCGTTTTAACATCTATGATTTGCATAAATTTTTATAAATTTTTCTGATGATCATCAAACTTCGAATTGTTTTCGTAGAATTCTGACGATGACAAATCTTTAGTCATACTTCGAAGTTTTCTACTAATATAAGGGGTTCCCTGTATTATAGGTGTGCCATATTTCAGGAGGATTGTACCGTGGTTTCTGAAGCACCCCCTCAAGTCAACATCAAACTTAGGTTCTGGCTTCACAAATTCAGTTTTCAACTGCAAAATCTCTTTTTTGTTTGCTGAGTATTTTTATGAATGCAACTACAGGCCTTACTCAAAGGATACAGGATATGATGATTCTGATGTTTCTGCCGTGCTCTCAGTGAGGTTTGTTGACGCATACCCTGTAAATGGTGTTATATCAAAGTCCTTGCTAAGTGTATTATACTATTATGCAGATGTGTGCATGGTTATCCATTCAAATGCCCAACGCTGCATATAATACCAGAGAAAGGGCTACTGAAAACTGATGCCGATAACCTTTTATCTTTGCTTTACGATCAGGTACTAGTGATCCCAGTGCTCAACTTCTGACAGGTCTATGTGTTTACTCTGGTAATGTGGCAAGTGACACTATTAGTGTTCAACACTTACAATTTGGTATTGCTATTGCGAAAAATGTAGTAATGTGCGTGGAAGGAAAAAGCATGTAAAATCCATCGAGACTGAAAAACTTTGGCCCAGTGTTTTCCTTTCTATTTAGACGTGTATGTGCTCTATGATGTACTTCCTCTACGAAGGTATATTTGTGATTCAGATCAACACAATTCATTTGCACAAACTATGCACAATTCATATTTCATTCTCTTAAGTGCATGTCTCCTTGTTACTTCTGAGATACAGTGGCCCCAATATTGTCTTAATCAGGCTTATTTTCATGCTTTCCTGCTTTGTAATTTTGGGTAACAATATTCTTCTGTTGTGCAGGCCAATTCTAATGCTAGAGAAGGGCGTGTGATGATTTACAATTTAGTGGAGGCTGCCCAAGAGTTCTTATCTGAAATTACTTCACAGGTGAGTCATCTGTATCTGTTAGCACTTAGAACTGTTGTTTTTGGTTTTAGTTGCAGGTTTTATTACCTTTTTTAGTTGGTTGCTTAAAAATTTTGCTGCTATTTTTTGTCATGACAAATTTTGACTAATGTTCAGAAGACGAGAAGAAATTTCATTCATTTCAACGGTGTTGGATATTGGTATGTTTTGTGAATATCTGAATTGAAAACTTCAAATTATTTCTGTTTGGTTCTGTGAACTTCAATTTTATGTTTCACGATCTGTGGCATACTTTCTCAAAGTATTTGAGTTTCGAACTTTATTTAGTTGTTTTGGTATATGACATGAAGCTACGCTTTGAGTTTGTCCATACTATCAGGTTAATATTGGTCATATTTGTATAAAGAATCTGTTAATTGCTTGAGTATTGTATTTCATTTTTCCTCTCTTTTATGCTCTGGGTGGGGGGAGGGTTGCGGTTGCTCAAAAAGATCTGAATAAAAATAAATGTTGGAATTGTAGTTTGCTATAAGAATATGAAAAACTCAAGATTTGTGATACTTAATTTTGAGAAGTGGTAGTAGTGGTAGTTCGCTAGTTCTATTTGACTACTGAACAAGCTCAGATAAATGAGTTTTTGATAATTGCGAAAAGTTTGCCCCTTTTTCTTTTGTTCATTTTCATATCTTATTTTCATTTTCTTATTTTAGTCTGAATTTATTTCTTTCATCAGCGAGAAACACTATGGCATATTATAGACTGTTTTCTCTTGTTTATGATTGTTAGGGGCTATGGAAGACCAACTTCCAGCAACCTCACTTTCACTAGTTCTCTTTGCGAGCTGATTATGATTCACATCTATTGAGACTGTTTTAATGATGATACTTTCCTGATTATCAACATGAAGGATACCCTTCTAACGTTTTGTATTTTTCCTACTTCAAAGTATCGTTGTCTCATAATTTAAACTTATAAGAGCAAAATCCAAATTGGCATTACTGGTTAATGGTTGATGAGATTTGGTGGACTCCACCTATGAAATTGATATAAGAAATTCTAGACTTTAAATTCACTTATTCGATTTTGGATGATAAATTATCCCTGAACGCAACTAAGGATCATTTTGAATGAGTAAACATGGACTTTTTCTTTTGATATTCTGTGGAGAAGTTTTAAAAATTATGCCAGTTAAACAACAAGACATCTAAACTAACTTGGGTTTTTCTTTTATTTTCTTGTTTAATTTTGTTATTCTCCTACATAATGACCCAGTGGGTATTCAAAGAAAATGTCAGATAGTATACAAGCAAATTCAGTTCATAAAATGACCACTTCCTCTCTTTAGCATTACAATGATTGAGGGACATGTTGTACGTTTTATCATCCTTGGACCTAATATTACATGTAGTAGGCACTAAGAAATTTAATTGAGCATGGACCTTGGTATATAACTTCTGATTGAGTTATTTCAAAAGTTTAATTATTGAATACCTCAGAGGTATAAAAGTAATTGCTTATCTAATTTTGTAAATAGAGAGGTCCTCTATCAAACTAGAACTTCGAATTGACAAATTATCTTAAACTGATCTTTTTTCCCCTCAGGTTGTGCTCCATGATACTGATAAGAATTACCAGCTTTCAGAGCAGGATGCTACTATTCCAAGTGGCAGATTACGTTTTTCTGTCGGACCTTTTGTCTTTAGTCATATAGATCTTTTCAGTGGTTCTGGGGAGTTGTGGCAGTGGAATCTGGAAGGGGAAGAGAGCCACAAGGCATCTTCACAAGCAATTGATGATTTGAACCCGGGAAAGTTTAATTTGGCCAAGCAACCTGAGAAGAATATGAAGCCATCAGTAGTAGAAAATGTTAAGGCGGAGTCCATACGTAACCTTTCTTCAAGATTAGGTACCCTTGAGGAAGAGAGTGAAAATGAGACAAAAAACAGTTACTCAAGTGCTGGATCAGATGGAAATGGTTCCACTAGCAGCATAAAGGTTATCCCGTTTCTTTTCTATTATTTAATTTTTTCTTCTTAAATTTTGCATCTCGATTAAAATAAATAAATAAGTACAAAAAATCCTGCATTTGGATGATTATGAATGATTAATGTTAACTTTTATCAAGGGTTGTTTTATCTTTTTCTTGCATATGTGTTCTATTTTGATGGTAAGTGTGTCTGATTGTGCATTTCTTTCTTTTTCTCTTGACTCTTTTTTCAGCTTGATTGAAGTGGGGGTTAATATTGTTGTCCATAGTATATATGCCACTTTGAATGGTTTCTGTGTTACCGTTGAATAGTGGTTTAAGGGTGTTCGCAACTATGTATGTTACGTCATGCTCCAACAAGTATAGTATGGTAATGGTTAACTTCTATATTAGATTTATAAAGTACCTTGTGGTACGTTGAGATAATCATTTCTTGATAATGCATTGAAAGGGATAGCAAATAAGTTTTTCTTATTCCATATTGGTATTAGTAGATTTATACAGACAATCAAATAGCACGAGTAACAGAGTTAGTAGCAGATTATATCATTTGAGTTAATATGCGCTTTAGTGACATTGAATTTGGAAAATATTTTATCCATGTTTCGCAAAAAACGGACAGATTGTATAGAAGTGTTGAGTGGATCCTTAAAGGTTGAAAGCTATTTGATGTTTTTTTTAATGGCATAGATTTAGATGTTGACTTTTGTTAGAAGTTATGTTGGTCCCACATTGATTAGTTACTGTGTGTAAATGTGGGTTGGGCATCCTCTCGCTTTGAGCTAGCTTTTGGGGAGGAGTTCTACTCAGACCTATTTATCTTGGTACCAAAGCACCTTGGCTTGTTTGTTTGGAGGCGATGTTGGGTTTTGACTCGACCCATTTTGGTTTGGTACGCTTTGGGGGTTGGGGGGTTGGGGATGTAATGTCTGCAGAAGATGGGGGGATGGAATAAAGAATAAAAAAGAAAAGAGAGGGGAAAGGTAGCGGGAATTTTTACTTTATGGTTATTAAATATTCAATTTCATCAATGGTGGTGCCATGGTGGAATTCTACCTAACCACCATTAGGAATTTGTGAAGGATGGTGTTATGACGGCGCCATAGGCCGCCATGACGGCTTCTATGGAGGGATTTCAGCTTGCCATAATTTTCAATATCCGTTGATAGCACTGTCTTGAGTTGCTAGTTTGCAATTTGCTAATACTTTAGAATTTTAATTTGTGCGGATAGGTAAACATTGCTAAAAGTTAAACCCATAAATTGTTTGCAAGCAGTTTTTGTATGTAAGTTAGTTCCGTCTCGGAACCCTTACGGTTAGGGCGAAGTTTTGGCCATGTTTATATAAAAATATCATTTTATGTTTTCGTGAGTCCAAGCAAAGAGCTTCGGCCTTTTCTAAATCGACTTTCTGAGCCCATGAAGCGTTTCAAAGATTTCTCCAAGCAAATCATTTGGAGGTTTTGACTAGAACCCTTTATTTTGGGCTCTAAACACTTATTTTACACAATCCGAGCTTGTGCAAGTTGAATAATTAAAATTTCATACTCTTGTGAGGAACTTTCTGTGCTGTTATATGAATAGACATGTTCACTGAAAACTCTTGCAAGGAACATTTGTTCGGTATATATGTGAGATATTAAATTTTTCTGTTGACAATTATCTCCTGCAATAATATTTATAGCTAATATCAGACCTTTTTTTGTGCTTAAAAGATGACAGATCTATAGACATGCTTATATCTATTTGTCATGCTGTTTCTCAATTTGTCTATGTTTTTTCCTACTCTTCACACTTTAGTTCTCATGCGCATGTGACATTTTCTTGTTTACAGGATATTTTTGTGGAAGCAACCCTAACAGAAGCTGATTATGGTGATTTTGATAGTGATTCAGGGTCATCATCCGACTTTGGTGGTCATGGTCAACCTAGGCAGGCAACAGAAAGAGATTTGCTTCTGGTGATTTTCTCATCTTGTGCAACATCTTTTACCCAACCCCCCTTAAATTGTAGGAAATCATGACATGAACAAGTTTAACCCCGTAGGCTCACTTGCTCCGCGTTGCTTGTGCTCCCAAAGGACCTCTAGGTGATGCTTTGCAAGAAATAACATCAGAGCTCGTTAATCTAGGGGTGTGCATTTCTCATCTTTTGTTGGACTAAATGACTTCATATGATGTTTGGTTTTGTAATTTATTAATACTTGCTGCCTCTAATTTGTTCCTTTTCAGATTCTTTCAGAGGGTGTACGGGATATGGCCATCAAGCCGTCGTCATCCTTTGACAAAGCATTTGATCGCGTCTTTAGGAAGTCGATCGTGAGTTGGTTGTGCATTTTTTTTTTTTTTTTTTTCTA